CCATTCCGGGCTGGTCAGGTGTGGAGCCCAAGGCATGATGGGAAAACAGACAGGACATTGGCGCGGTACTGAGGTTGTCACGAGAGCCACCCTGAGCATTCCAGAACAGAGGAAGTAGAAACTGGGGAGTTTGCTGTGGTTCACTATAAACTGGTGGAGACCGGAGGAGCATGGTAGAGACGTCCACAGAAAAAGGTTGCGGGCCCTAGAAATGGCTGAGGGGCCAAGAACGCAGAAGATAGTGTGGATAAAGGAGAAAGATGGCATCGAGAGCTTTCGAGGGGCAAGACCTAAAGGAGGTTAAAGGCACATCGCGGAAGACAGAACCATCACTTTCCAGAACATGAGCAGAAGAAAGGAACCAGGAAAGAGACTGAGCAGCAGAGGACAGACAAGGGGCAGGAGTGAGGGATTGCCAGAGGCAGACCTGGGGACAGAATCCGGGAAGTACTGCCATGAGCATTGCGGATACTCAGGGGCCACAGGATTGGCTGCCTCAGGGTGGGTGTCAGGAAGGTGTCAGGAGAGAGCACACAGCATTGACTCACGCTAGGACCCTTGCACAGCTGTCTGGAGCTCCAGGCCTTGGGTAGAATTTCAGGAAGAAGCCTGATATTTAGTCTCTTTCTTTTCCCCTACTAGGTCCTGCACCTCAGAATGACTATAGACCAGGTAGGCTGGGCTCCTTGGGAGGCCCCCAAATGGGAATCCCAGGTCCCTCACCTTGATCTTTGTCTCTCCTCCAGACTATGGAGGTGTGAAACCCCAGAAGCCAGGTGAGCCTTGTCCTGACCTGTTCCTCTGCTAGTCTCTCCCTGGGCCCTGAATTCCCCTTCATTCACACTTTTCTTTGCCTCCAGGATTTGGCAACTGGAATGGACTTGTCCTGGGAGCCCAGCCAGGTGAGGGTGTTGGGCTGTCTTAGGGGCAGTCTGCATGCCCACAGCCCACCTTCCCTCTCAGACTTCAGAGGATAGGGCCAGCCAGTGAGGAGGAGGGTTGGGCAAGTCCTCAGGAACCCTGGTTTTTTTTTTTTTTTTTTTTTTTTTTTTTTTGCATGACTTTGAAGTGGGGGCTGACTGAGGGCCTTTGCCCCTTGTTCACTTTGCCCGTTGCCACAGGTCCTCCAGCTCAAAATGGACACGGACCAGGTATAGGAGGGGATGAAGGAATTGGGGTGTGTGCTAGGGTTGGGGTTCTGAGGAACTCTTAATTCCTTACCTAGTCCCTATTTCTTTCTTAGCTATCAGAGTGGGCATGAAACCTCCAAAGTCAGGTGAGGTCTTCCCTGCCCCAGTGTCCCTGTGCGGCCCACTCACCTCTGCATAGCCTGGCCTCCCCTTACTCTCTACCACTGTCTGCCAGGATTTGGCAATGGGAACGGAATTGGACCTGCAGCCCAGCCAGGTAAGGCACCAAAAACCTGGGAGGAGTTACAACCAAGGTACTAGGGTTCTAAGAGAGGCATTCCTGGAGTTCTGACTGGTCCCCATTTCTCTCTCATGCTTTGGATCGCCTGCAAAACCCCATAAGGTAGGTGGTACTCACTCCTGCCAATGATTTTGTCTCCTGCCAATGATAGTGCTCCCTCTTAAACCATCTCCATAACAGTGCTCCCTCTTGAACCATCTCCACCATAATAGTGCTCCCTCTTGAACCATCTCCACCATAATAGTGCTCCCTCTTGAACCATCTCCACCATAATAGTGCTCCCTCTTGAATTGTCTCCACCTTCACTTATCCCTCCAGGGTTATGGTAATGGACTGGGAGCCCAGTCAGGTGAGATAAGACCTGAGGGACCCACATCTGGGGTGTCCTTCTGTGCTCCCCTCCCAGGCCTCAGAGGGCCAGAGTTGGTAGAGAATTGAGGCAGTGCTGAGAGCAGGCTTCTAGGACTCTAGATTTCTAGTTTTGTACAAGAGAAAAGTTGCACCTCCACCTCAGTCGAACCCCACATCCTACACTTCCCCCTTCACACAGGTCTGGCAGCCCAGAATGGATTTGGTGTAGGCAGGTGGGGGTCCCAAAGGGACTGGCAGACTTTTATACAGTGTGTGTATGGGACAGGGGTGAGCAAGCAGGGTTCCTCAGATGTGTGTGTCTCCTACAGGTTTTGGAGGTGGCAGGAAACCCCAGAAGCCAGGTGAGTACTATCTACTTTAGGTCTGTCCCTGCCTTAGTTTGGGTTTCTATTACTGTGATAAAACACCACGACCAGGGTGGGCAGTGGCACGGTGGTGGCGCAGGTCTTTAATTCCAGTACTTTGGAGACAGAGGCAGGTGGTTCTCAGTGAGTTCAAGGCCAGCCTGGTTTACAGAGTGAGTGCCGGGATAGCCAGGCTGTTACACAGAGAAATCCTGTCTCAAAAAAAACAGAAAGATGACGCTGGAGAGATGGCTCAGAGGTTAAGAGCATTGCCTGCTCTTCCAAAGGTCCTGAGTTAAATTCCCAGCAACCACATGGTGGCTCACAACCATCTGTAATGGGGTCTGGTGCTCTCTTCTGGCCTGCAGGCATACATACAGAATATTGTATACATAATAAATAAATAAATAATAAAAAAAGAAATGTTTAAAAAAAAAAAAAGCTAGTTCCAGGACAGAGATACCCTGTCTCGCAAAATCAAAAAAAAAAAAAAAAAAAAAAAAAAAAAAAAAAAAAAAAAAAAAAAAAAAAAAACACCAAGCTGGACGGTGGTGGAGCACGCCTTTAATCCCAGCACAGTCAGAGTTTGNTTTTTTTTTTTTTTTTTTCCCCTTGGAAAGATTTTATTTAGGCTTAGATGTCCTGGTCACAGTCCATCATGAAGGGCAGACAGGACAAGAACTAAGGCAGAGGCCATGGAGGGGCACTGATTATTGGCTTGCTTCTCTTGGCTTCCTCAGCCTGCTTTCTCGCTTTCTCACAGCATAGCCCCGCCCACAGTGAGCTGGGCCCTCCATCTCCATCAGGAAAATGCTCCACAGATCAATCTGACACATTTCTCAGTTCAGAGTCCCTCTTCCCAGAAACTTCAGGCTTGTGTCCAGTTGACAAAGCCAGCCAGCACAGGGCCCCCGGCCATGCCCCTGTGCCTCCCTCTCTGTGACAATGGACTGGGACAGGAAAGATGAACACCTACAGCACAGACAGGCCGGCCTCTTAAAGAGCCTAACTGGAGGCTTAGATTCTGTGTCTTCCTTCACCTGGGAGGGGTATGAAGCCTCCTGGCTGGAGACTTGGGAGTCCAGAGGAGGGGATAGCCCTTATTCCCCCTGGCCCCTCCTCTGGAGGTCCTGTCTCACCCCATCCCCTTTCTCCCCAGGTTATAGGAATGGAAATGGACCAGATGCCCTGTCAGGTGTGGTCTCCTGGGCATGTGTCTTACAGTGATGTTGGGAAACTGGACAGATGGGGAGGAGGATTAGGGACAGATTTCAGGAGGACAGAGGGTTGAGGGGACTCCGGTCAGACCCTTTCTGTCTCTTGCCAAATGTAAGAGTAGGCGGGAAGCCTCAGAAGCCAGGTGAGGATAGCCCATGTTCTTTCTCCTATCTCTGTCCTCACCACCCTAGCCCCTCAGCTCATGGTGGGAAGGGGGTCTCCTAGGCCTGTCTTCAAGGAGTCCGGCCTTAGGTCCTATGAAGGAAATATATAAATCAGTAGGAATGCTGGGGATTATGAAGCCAGGGAGGGAGGTTAGAGGCGCTAAGGGGCCCCTCATTCTGGCCTCTTCTTCCACGGCTTACCTATAGCATCTTCCCTGTCCTCCCATAGGCCCTGCTGCTCAAAATGGCTACAGACAAGGTAGGAGCAGGGTAGGCTTATGAGGCCCAGAGGCAGGGGACCCAGCATCCCTCACCTGTACCCTGTATCTCTTTCAGACTATGGAACAGACACGAAGCCCCAGAAGCCAGGTGCGGCCAGCTCTAGTCTGAATTTCCACCTATCTGCCCCACTTCCCCCCACCAAACTTCCCTCCCTCTTTAATGCCCCCCTCCATCTGTATCCCCAGGATTTCAGAATGGACATGGGCATGGAATCCAACTGGGTAAGGGAGTTTGTATTTGGTGTCCAGTCACTGTCCCCCGTCAGGTCTGCAGGTCCAAAGGAGTCTCTAGCTTCTGGCCTGACTAAAGGGGAGGCCCAAGTCCCTTCCTCTCTAACGCTAGTTCCATCTTCCTCCCAGTTCAGAGCGGCAATAAGCAGGTCCTAGGGGGTTGGGGGGTAGGGAGCGAGGGGCTGGAAAAGTCGAACAGAGGAAGCAGTGGATAGATATTCACTAGGACCTACCTGAAGGACCCCTGGCTTCTGCAAAACCTGTCCTCCATCTCTCTGCCCACTAGACCCTGCAGTTCCCATCAACTACGGACCAGGAAGGGGAGGAGGCATAGATGCGTAGCTCAGATGCTAGACACAGATCAGAGAAAGGTCTTCGGAGGAGGGGTAACCCCATTTGTCTCCACAGGGTACAGAAATGGGCTGGGAACTAGAACCGTCCAAGGCAAAGGACCACAGCCAGGTAAGGGGCACAGAAAGGGGAAGAAGGCACCTCAGGCACAGATGGTCCTCGGAAGGGCAGGGGCGGGGCGGTCCCCATGGGTGGGGTCCCCATGCTCTGTTTATCTCACCTCAGGCCTGGAAACCTTCTGAAGCTAGGTGAGGCCCTTTCGGTCCCTCTTGCTGCCTCCCTTGTAATTCCCACACCCAGTGGTAGCCCAGTTCTCATAGCCTGCTTTCCTCCCAGGGTACATGCCCGAGAACAGGCTAGGGGTCTTCACAGGTGAGTGTCGGGGGCGGCAGAGGTGGGGAGGGATGAAGGTGGGTGGGGTAGGGGGGGAGGGAAGGGTGTGTGTATGTGATCAGTTCTCTGTCTCCACCAGGCCTGGGAGGGGCAATGAAACCTCCAAAGACAGGCAAGTGAGAACCCCCCTCCCACCTTCCGTCCTCCCCTGCCTCCCCTGCAGGCCCGCCCCAGCCTGCCCTTCATTTACTGCGTTCCCTCCCCAGTTTACAGCAATGGACATGGAATGGCAGCCCAGCCAGGTGAGTACTCCAGTCTGGTCAGGAGAGGGGTCAGAGGGCATGGCTGGGAGGTGGAGGGGTTGGGTGGGCTGACAGCAAGCGCCCTTTGCCTGGCTTAGCTACCCTATGCCTCTGAGCAGTACGGCCCACAGAACTTGGCTGTCTCGCCAGGTAGATGTCTCTGGGAGTGCTGTGAATGTCCTGGAAGCCACTGCAAACCATGGCTTGTCCTGACCCAGGTGTCCCGAGTGGTACAGGGTGAAGAGCCACCCGGAGCCAGCTCCTCACACTTTGCCTCCCGCTCTCCCTCATTAGGTCCCTGCAGTGGTAGGGTGGCCTCACCACAGCTCCTCCCCAGGTCCCCCACTCCAGGAGTCCCTGCAGACAAAGGAGGTAGCCTGAAATTGCAGCTCCTACCCCCAGTGCAGAATAGTAAATTTCCAGGTCAGTGTGGAGCCTGGGGGTAGGGAGGCGCCAGGAGGCACGTGACTGTGACGCCCGGAGGGGCTGGGCCTGGCTGAAGTTCTGAGAGACCCTGCTCAGGGCTCATTTCTGTGTCCCTCATTCTAGCACCAACCCCTGCCACCCAGTGGGGACCGAAGCCTCAGAAAGCAGGTGCGAGTCTGTCTGTCTCCAAGTCCTGAATCTCAGAGGGACAAACCCTCAGCTTCTCTATTCCTGTCTCTCTCGGGTATCAGGTCCTCCCACCATCATTATGGTCGAGCTGCCTCGATACCCTAAAGCCAGGAAGACCCCCCTGCAGTCTACCTCAAAGTCTCTTGCCGTTTCTAAGTTCTTTGACTCTGTTCTGTGTAAGCAGGGCAGTTCCTGCTACTTCCTCAAGGCTCCTAATGTCAGCATATGTCCCTTAGGAGATCTGCGGTCTCCACCCTCCATCACTAGCCTCCACCCTTTTCACAGGTTACCAGGCCTTCAATGGCTATGGAGCTGAAGCAGAACCCGGTGAGAATGATGTTTCTCTGCCCCTTCCCTTCCTCCATCTCTTTCCTCTGTGTTCCAGAAGAAGGGAGGGAAAGGCCAGGGTCATTTCTGACCCACAGTCTCTTTTCCCTCAGGCTTCCACGGCCTCAAGCTGCAGAAAGTTGGTAAGCCCTCAAGCAACTGTCTCATGGACAGACTTCTTATTTCCGGCTCTCTCTCTCTCTGTCTTTGCTTTCTGTCTCTCTGTCTCTCTCTTTGTCTCTCTGTCTCTCTCTGTCTCTGCTCTCTGTCTCTCTCTCTGCTCTCTGTCTCTGCTCTCTGTATCTCTGTCTCTCTCTGTCTCTCTCTCTCCCTCTCTAAGACAGAATCTCACAGTGTCGCCTTGACTGGTCAGAATTCATAGCAATCTGCCTGCCTCTGCCCCTCTGCCTCTAGAGTGCTGGGCTTACAGGCATGTGCCACCACTGTTCTATTTCTTATTCATCCAACCTCCACTCCTCCACGGTGGTGGCCAGTGACTGTTGTGACCCTGTCTGAGGTGGGTACGGTGACAGTCAGAAGGAAGTTGGGGAGAAAGCAGCTTTAGAAGTTGCCCAGGAGGGAAGTCAGGGAAGCCTTCTGGAGAAGCACCAGGAAAGCAGAACTGGGGAAGGCTGGATGAGGAGGTAGATGAGGGAGCCAGGAGGATGGAATCTTTTGGCTGACCTGTCTCCCGAGTACTGGGATTAAAGGCGCATGCCACGACTGCCCAGCACCAGAGGACAGCTTTATGTAGTCAGTTCTTCCCACCTTTATGCGGCTTCTGGGAACTGAAGTCAGCACATCAGGCGTGCAGAGTAGGCGGCAAGTGCTTTATTGGCTGAGCCATCTCAGCAGCCTTGCCTTTCTGTTTGGAGACAGGGACTGGTGTAGCCCAGGCCGACCTTGAGATTTTGGTTCTCTTCCCTAGGTCTCCCAAGTAGCTGAAATTCCATGCCTGCGCTACCAGGGGTAGGGGTGGGATGGGGTTGGGGCTCTGCCTCTTCAATCTGTATCTCCTTGCTGAGAGCTAACTATCTGGCTGCCCTGCCCTGGCCCTCCCTGCTCCAATCTTTCTCCTGCAGGTTTCCATTATGGAAATGGAGCTCTGGAAGCTGGAATTTTCCCTGAGATCCTGCAGTCAGGTGTCTGAGGAGGGGATGGGTGTGGGGGCTGAGACGTGGGGCAGGAAGCTAGACTTATTACCACCCTCACTAAACCTTCTCTTTCATTCTCCAGGGTTCCCCATAGCCAGTAGTTTTAGGAATGGTGAGTTGGACCCAGGGTACCAGATACAGTGAGGAAGGGGATGGACCATAACCAGGAGCTGGGTAGGAATAAATAACGGATCTTTTGCAGGATTTGGGGAGGAGACTCGTCTGTATCCTAAGACAACAGTTCCAACCCTACAGAGAAATGGTAACATGATCATAATGATGATGATGATGATGATGATGATCCAGCAAGGGCAGTCAAGAGGGTTCCAGAGCCAGAGAGGGACAGGGACCTCCTGAATGCCCATTTCTGTGGGATAGTGTACCCATACTAGTTCTCCCCCTGCAGGTCAGGCTGAAGCCCTGCAGGGCTCCCCCTGGCCAGCCCTCCAGCCCTGGGGGGCTGGAATGAAGCCAGGCTATGGATATGCAGGCCTTGGGAACCAAGCAGGTAAATGGGGTGTGTGAATGAGGGTGGGTAGGCGGTATCAGGCCCTGAGTCCAGGCCTCACCCACAGCTGTGTGTAGGGAAGGAGGGAGCATACCCATGGCTGAGGTATAAGAGGGACTGAAAAGGAAAACATAAAGCTAATTCAGGGAGGCCCTGAGCCCAGCCTGAACGCTGTGCTGAGATTTGGAGGAAAGGAAGGGGACCCAGGGCTGTGTAAGTTGGCTACCCTAACCCTTCTTTCCCAGGACCCTATGGGCACCTGGGGCCAGAGCTGGGACTGGAACATTTTGGTGAGTGAGCATCTCTACAAGTCTGGGGTGCAGGAGCGGGGTAGGCAGAAGTCCCCTGGGGTCCCACAAGCCCCTGTCTTGTGGTCTGTGTTGCAGGGGGTCCTGAAGTGAAGGCTGATACCAAGAGCCAGCTAGGAAACCGTTACAGAGGTGAGAGGAGTCATGGTGGGCCACTGGCTCCATTCAGGGGCCACCACTGTCATCTCTCCAGGTGTCCCCAGTCCTTGGCAGGGATAGTAGACTCCATGGCCCTTAGACTGCTGAGTGATGACCTCAGAGACACCCCCAATGCCCGAGATGCTGTTCTGCCTCTCCCCAGGACACTGCCCTTCTGGGAAATGCTGAGCACGGAGCTTGACCCCTGCCCGCCCCAAGGGTCTCTGCATTAGATCATGGCTGGGGGAGCACAGCCGGGGATCTCAAGACTTGCCCAGGACACTGCCCTGCCTGTGGTGTCCTCTGGACTGAAGTATCAATAAAGCCGTGTGATTCTTTGTTGCCTCCATCTGTGTCATGGAGAAGTGCTGATTTGATGAGGGTGGCACAGCCTGACTCACCGCTCATCAGGTGACAATGGACTTTGCCAGACGCTCTACTCAAATGGAAGACATGACAACAAACCAGACTGTCTCCAATCTCGGGAAAACACATCCAGTTTAGGGGTCTTTTGGCTGGGTGTGTTCCTCAGTGGCAAGTCCCTGTCACGTTCAAGACCCTGGGTTTGGCCTCCAGCACTGGGGAAGAAAGACTGCCCCTGAATAGGGTCCCGGGGGTCTAGAATTTAGGGAGTGTTTGCCACGCAAAAGAACACTTTAGAACTTGTTTTAATTTGTAATCATTCACCTCAAGTTGTTAAAGACGCTGGGTGTGGTGGCTGTACTCTAACCTTGAAAGGTAGAAGCAAGGTGAGAAACTGACCAGGAGAATTCAGAGTTCAAGGCCGAGCACAGGCTACTACAGGTGGTGACCCTATCTCAAAAACTAAGGTGGGGTCTGGAGAAATGATTCAGCTAAGAGCATTTGGCTGCCCTTCTAGAGGACCAGATTTCAATTCTTAGCACTCACAAATCGGCTCACTGCCGTCTGGAATACCAGCGATTTAACTCCCTCTTCTGGCCCCCAAGGGTACTGCATGCACATAGTATACAGACACATCCAATGCACATAAAATAATAATTAAAATTAAAAATAAAAATATCATGTTTTCTAGTTTAATTTAACTTACTATTATTTTGCATGTGTATTATATTGTGTGATTGTCAGTGCGTGTGTACCATAAAGCAGAGGCTGGAAGACAACTTTTGGGAGGTAGTTCTCCCCTTCTTCTGTGGGTTCGAGTCCTTAAAGCCTGGTTACATGTCAGGCTTATATGGCAAGTACTTTTGGCTGCCAAGCCATTTGGAGACAGGATCTTATGTAACCCAGTTACATGAATTAGAAGCTGGCCTCTAATTTGCTATATAGCTGAGGCTGGTTTTGAACTTCTGATCTTCCTGCTTCTCTCTCTCTCTCTCTCTCTCTCTCTCTCTCTCTCTCTCTCTCTCTCTCTTTGGTTTTTCGAGACAGGGTTTCTCTGTGGTTTTGGAGCCTGTCCTGGAACTAGCTCTTGTAGACCAGGCTGGTCTAGAACTCACAGAGATCTGCCTGCCTCTGCCTCCCACGTGCTGGGATTAAAGGCGTGTGCCACCACTGCCCGGCCCTGCTTCCATTTCTCAAATGGTGGGATTCCAGGTAGGAGCAACCACACCAGGCTCAAAAACATTTTCTCCTGGGATCGCAGCCGCCCAAATGAATTTCAATCCCTTTGTGACTTCTGACCGAAGCAAGAGCCACAGACGGCATTTCAGTGTACCTTCTCACGTTTGAGGGAAGATCGTGTCTTCCCCTCTTCCCAAAGAGCTGAGACAGAAGCACAGTGTTTGATCTGTGCCCAGTAGAAAGGATGATGAAGCTCAGGTTGTCCAAGGTCACTACAAAGGCCAGCAGATTGGCAAAGTGGTCCAAGTATACAGGAAGAGATATGTCACCTACATTGAACAGGTGCAGCTAGGAAAGGCTAATGTCACAACTGTCCATGTGGGCATCCACCCAGCACGGTGGGTATTACCAGGATAAAGCCGGACAACAAAGACCGCAGGATGATCCTGGAGCCAGGCGGTGGTGGCGCACGCCTTTAACCCCAGCACTCGGGAGGCAGAGGCAAGGAAAGCCAGGTCCTGAAAAGTAGGGAAGGAGAAGGGTAAATACACGGAAGAAATGACTGAGAAGATACAGACGTGGGGGCGTTTATACATAGTTTTCATTAAAACTGCTTACGTTCTTTTTTAAAAAAAAGGTATTTTTTCCGAGTCGTGACCCAGCCTCAGAGGAAGCAAGATGTGACTGCCTCACGGAAAAAGGTACCAAGCCACATGGCTAACATAGACAAGAATTACGGGCTAATATAAGTTATAAGAGTAATAAGAAACCTGAGCTAATAGGCCGATCGGTTTATAATTAAAACAGTGTTTTTCCTTATAGATGTCACTGAATTAATAATTTAGTTATAGAATTTACTTTCACATTCTTTGACTAATGATCATTAAAGTACAGATACTTTAGAACGGCTTACAAACTTGATGAACTAAATTAGCTATCTCAAACAATTACAGACACCAGGGACCAGGGATATAGCTCAGTCACAGAGTTCAAGTGTGTGGATTCAGGCACCAGAACAATAACAACAAAAATAAGTAAATAAAAAATCACCTCAATTAAAAATACTATCTACTTGAGTCTATTGACCTCTAAATAGTGTGAGGGCACAGGTCCCACAATGCCTTCCCCAGCAGCCAAGGCCTCTTGAAATCCTTACTTTGGCAGATTACAGAACACTTCCAAATATTTCTTAAAGCCAGTCACTCGTCCTTACCCCATGTTAGCTCATGCTGCTGGGTGTTTTCATTTCCTCCTCTTGGAGCTGCAAATATGGACACACAGGCCTCCAAGGAAAGGTTCAGAATGAGGTTAAGAAGTTGAGCCCAGCCCTCCAAGGGTTATCTCCCAGATTCTCCTCATCTCACTATATGTTCTACTTCACAAGGCTTTCCTCCTTGCTGGAGAGCAGGATTGTGAGCCTACACCACCTGCTCCCAGTGGCAGCTCTCAGGGAGGTCCATAGACGATACCCCATATCCCACGCTGGAGATGGAGTCCAGGGTCTTGAACACGCTAGGGATGCACACTGTTGCAGCCACTCTCCCTGGGCCACCCAGCCCATTAACCCTAGAACCTTCTGGTGTCACTAATAAAAGCTCTACTATTAGCTGGGCGATGGTGGCGCATGCCTTTAATCCCAGCACTCGGGAGGCAGAGGCAGGCGGATCTCTGTGAGTTCAAGACCAGCCTGGTCTACAGAGCTAGTTCCAGGAAGGCTCCAAAGCTACAGAGAAACCCTGTCTCGAACCCCCCCCACAAAAAAGCTCTACTATTCCAATTCCAAATTATTATTATTATTTTTTAAAAAATATTTATTTATTTATTATGTATACAATATTCTGTCTGCATGTATGCCTGCAGGCCAGAAGAGGGCACCAGATCTCATTACAGATGGTTGTGAGCCACCATGTGGTTGCTGGGAATTGAACTCAGGACCTTTGGAAGAGCAGGCAATGCTCTTAACCACTGAGCCATCTCTCCAGCCCCAAATTATTATTTTTTTTAAATTTTGTTTGTTTGCTTGCTTTCAAGACAGGGTCTCTCTGTGCAGCCTTGGCTAACCTAGAATTCCCTCTGTAGACCAGGTTGGGCTTGAACTCAGAGAGATCTGCCTGCCTCTGCCTCCCGAGTGCTGGGATTAAAGGTGTGTGCATCACCGTGGCCTGGCATCCAAATTTTCTTTTAATTTTTTATTTTTGTTTATTTATTTTTAAAAAGCTTTATTTTAGCTTTATTTCATGTGCATTGGTATAATGATATCAGATTATCTTGAACTCGAGTTACAGACAGCTGCAAGCTGACATGTGGGTGCTGGGAATTGAACCTGGGTCCTCTGGAAGAGCAGTCAGTGCTCTTAACCACTGAGCCATCTCGCCAGCCCCTCCAAATTTTTTTTGGTTTGTTTTGTTTTTCAAGACAGGGTTTCTCTGTGGTTTTGGAGCCTGTCCTGGAACTAACTCTTGTAGACCAGGCTGGTCTCGAACTCACAGAGATCCGCCTGCCTCTGCCTCCCAAGTGCTGGGATTAAAGGCGTGAGCCACCACCGCCTGGCCCCTCCAAATTTTCTTAATTTTTAAATCTTATTTTATATGTGCTGACTGCCTTGTCCAAATGTATGTATGTTGAAAGAGGGCACTTGATCCCATAGAACTGAAGTTACGGATGACTATGAGGCACCTTACAGTTGCTGGGAATCAAACCCTGGTCTTCTGCAAGAGAAACAAATGCATTAGATGGTGGTGGTGCCCTCTAAATTCCAGGACAGGCTCCAAAGCTACAGAGAAAACAGAGAGAGGGGGGGGTGCTCTTAACCACGGAGCCATCTATCCAGTGTCCTCCAATACCAGTTTTGAAGAGATTAACCCTTTTGTCTTTTTTTTTTTTTCCTTTTTCCTCTTTGCTTCATTTCATGTATGGGGCAGAATGTCAGGTAGTCCAAGGTAGCCTTAAACTTGCTATGTCTGAGTCTGGCCTTGATCTCCTGGTTCTCCGGCCACCACCTCCCGGATGCTAGAATTACAGGCTTGAACCACTATTTATTTTTTCTTTAACAGAATCTCACCTGCTTGTCACTTACAATTATTGGCAACTTTAACGTATATAATGCATATTGCCCCCCCCCCCATCTCATCTACCTCAGACTAGCCTTGAACTTGGCTACGTGGTGGAGGGTGACCTTGAGCATCTTCTGATCCCCCCCTGCCTCCATCTCCCCTGAGTTAGAGACATTACACCTGATTTATGTAAGGCTGAGGACTGGAATCAGGACCTCATGCATGATACGGAAAGTACTTTGCGTACTCAACCCAAAACATTGCATCAGAATATTTTATTTACTGTGTGTGTGTTTGTGTCATGGGTTTGGGGGGGTCAGAGACAGCTAATAAGAATTGCTTCTCTCTTCCCATTTTGTGGGTCTCCGGAACTCTAGTCGTCAGGTTTAGAGACAACTAGTAGGCGTTGTCGTCATCTAGTACGCCCAAAACTTTGTTTTTTGAATTGTGATATTCCTTCTATATGGTCGTGGTCTGTAATCTCAGATTTAAGAGGTGCAAGTAGGAGGATCATAAGTGGGACGCCATACTTTGCTACGTATTGACACCAGCCTGGGACGTTTTGTCTCAAAAAAGAAAATGTGATGAAAATATGCATCAATCCAGAGTCACCACTGATAAATAGCAATAATTGCTGTGGCACATTCTATACTGGTGGGGCATGGCCTCAGAGCACCATCGGGCCAGGAGGGGGCGCCCAGAGCGCGTATTCACTCGAAGGATAGCGGGAGGCGAAGGAGGCACCGCGGGATACCGTGATTGGTTGGGGTGCCCAGGCTGTAAGCGCACCAGCTCGTGTTTGGCTGGAACGTGTTGCAGGCAACTCCAATTGGCTGGGCGGACCTCAGCGGGCTCCTGGATCTCGTTCCCAGGCTGCGGGCATCGCTCACTGGGCCCTGGGGTGGCAGCGGCGGCCAAGCTGGCGGCGCGGTGGCCCCGCTCCCGCTC